TGCCTGGAAACCTTTTCCGCTTATTGACTAACAGAGTAACAGACTAAATAAGAAAAGTGATTAGACATGCAAGGATTTGAGGAAAATCTAAGCGTTTGTATTAAATTACAACATTATAGAAAAAAAACTCTTTTAAATGAATCTATTTTTATGAAAGTACTAACAACCTATAGTATACATACATCTAGAATAACTGCCTATCTAAATCATAATGACGAAACAAATCGACATAAACATGTATATACGTCCGTCTGTACGTTCGGAATTGGCTGACTCTACTAGTCCCTCTGTAACACAGGTCTATTTTATTTTGTTTTACTTTATTTGATCACATCCATGAACCCCATACAGGATTCACTAATGCAGGTTTATAAGATTGACAACAAGAATACCAATATTCACAATATTCGCGATTGTGCTCTGTGATATAAAAATGGTTTGTGTTGTTAGGATGCATGAAGGATGCATAGCTCCGGTGCACACGAAGGTATGGTAACTTTTTAGTTGGTTATTTCCACTACTAAGTTGTTTATTTCTCAAACTTGAATTACATGTATTTTACTATAGAATTCCAAATCCACTGCCATGTACAAGTATAGTTTACTTAGTAAATAATTGTTTTATAGAACAACTCATGACCTAGAAATATTTACTGCCTAAACTGGCCATTAACTGCGCTTGCTCTTTCTCTATAATATGTAGTATATTTACTAGTATAGTATACTTTACTATATTTTCAGGCACTTGGTAAGTTAAATGCCGAACATTTTCGTGTTTACTTTGTGAATCAGGGGCACGCATTTACCTGAGCTTCTCCCCAATAATAACTACAGATACAATGGTAATAAAAAGAGCTTTTGCCGCTCGCAACTTTTAGCTGGAGTTACGCGAGGGCGGCTGTGGCGGCAACAACCATGGGGCTGGTGTATTTGGGGTCGCAGTGGCAAAAAGGGCTGCCAACAAGCGCAACTTTTAGCATCGACAAACGGCACTTTCGAATCGCTTTTTTTCCTATGTATGTATGTATGTATGTATGTGTGTATGTATGTGAAGCACACAAACTTCCCACTTTGACATGCAGTCGTGTGAATGACGCGCAAAGTGTGCATGAGTGTGTTTGAGGGTGTGCGGCAAAAAAGCCAACGAGCAGGCGAATGTGCATTCTGGGCCGCGTTGTTGGCTTGTTAGTGGCTGCGTCGTTTGCAGCGCCGCTTTGTATGCAGCTCGCGAGCTGCCAATTGTGTCGCTTTTGAATTGCAGACTGTCAAGCGGCAACTGGCAAATAGTAAACGACAAACGGCAACCGACAAACGGCGAACGGCAACCGTTGATGGACGCCATTGATGCGTGTGAAATGCATATATGGCTAATGTGGCTAATAGTTGGGGTTGACAAAGGCTTGCCGCGTTTCCTTGTAGTTGACGTCTTGCAGGGGGCTTGTGTGAATGCCAGCGACATACGTGTATTTATCTGGTAGCAGCCGAAGCATCAAATATCCAACCGAAAACTCAAAACTCCAAGGAATAATCAACAGCATCAAAATACACACAAGTACATTTATAATGCATACACGTGCGCACACTTGGAAATGTGCCTAAAAGTATGCATGAATTTTTAAAATCTCGACGCATTCAAATTATGATAATGAGTGCCATTGGTGCTGTTTTTGTCGCTTTCATTGCATGTGTGCGAGTGTTGATGATGTCGTTGGCGTGGGGCGCTAACGAGCGCAGGTCCTCGAGGTCTGTCCCCCCAGCTCAAAACGCATTCTGTGCTAATGCATTTAATTAATTTTGTATAAAAATGCGTCATATGTGTGTGTATGTGTGTGTTTAATGAGCACTTTTGTGTTGTGAATTTTCGGTCTAAGTCATTAGAAGTCACTTCATCACGAGAGCCTCCTGTCGCCTAAGGACTTCAAAGTGCACTTGACTCTCCAGGCACTTCATTTGTGCTGACGAGCCTGGACAAGCAGCGCAGCACAGTCAAAAAGGATTATATTTCTTCTTTCTTTCAAGATTTGCACAGAATTAAAGACTAAGTTGAATTGTCTTATATAAAATATTTTATTATTTATTTATAATGTTTAAACACATAATCTGTCTGCATGGATAAGATGAATTCATTATTATAATTGCGCGAAAACTCATAAAACCAATGATTTACGGTCAGGCAAGCAATAATTTTTTCAAAAATTTGTACAATTTAAAATATGTATATAGTATTAGTCCTGTCGTAAGGGAAGAAGACAGCGCAAAGACCCATGTCTTTATTTCAATAGTGCAAAGTCTTTCATGAACCCATCACTTTGTCAGCTTTCAGGCAGGAAATGTAGTTTCCATTTCTTGTTGGCCTTCTCTAGACTTAAACTTATCATGCACTCAGACTTAGCTAAAGTGTTGCTTCTTGTGGACTAGCACACATTTTTACTTTATTTTTTTGAGACTCCTTTTTATGGCACTTCCAAATGATATTTCTTTCCTCACATGTCAGTTGTGTGTTGTCGTGTGTATGTGTGCGGAGTTGGGTTTGTCTTACGTTTTAGTCGCGTTCATATTTTAGCTCATAATTTGTATTTTACGTTAGTGTATGAAAAACTTTTCATGGCTTGCAGCTCGTGACAAAAGTTTTCCATGTTTCTTTGAATTTAAAGTTTACACTTGTACTCGACGTGGGTGGTTCTTTCTATGCACTTCGAATCAAAGGCCTTCTTGTATCTTTAAAATTTCTAAGCTATGTAAAAGTATTTCCCACCAATGGCAATGACCTGCTAACACTGAACGATATATTTATTCCTTTTTCCCAATTTATACATGTACGAGTATGTATCCGTGAAACTCGTTAATGCTATTTATATACTCCAAGAGTATGCAGTAAAGTTTATTTATTTAAGCCCAACTAGGTTGCAAGCACTAATATTTACTGAAAAGCAGTGAATTGCTGTTAAAATGGCGATCTTTGTGCATCCTCGAACATTTAGTTGTCGATGGCGCAGTGGTCGATCTTGTATGGAATTTGCGGGCAAAAATACTTACAGTGCACATTGGGACAGACGGCCGATAAAAACATAAATATTTTTGATCTTTATGCAACATTGTAATATTGATAACACTTCAAAGTTAGCTGTTCGATCTGCAAGCCATTTTGCTAAAAATGGTGCGAAATTTTTTGCTGACTTTGAGAGCTTGTCATTTCTTAATTTTGAAAAATACGTTAATGTTAATAATGGAAATAAAAGGGCTGGGTATGTAGAAAGTATATATATAAACAAAATTTGTTCGTATTAGTTAATTGGTTTTTTGTGTGCATTTATTTGTGTTGCTCATATTTGGAGTGAATAGTTTCTGCAACTTTCTGCGAAAAAGTAATATTGCCAACTTAAATTCGAATATTTGTATTAACTCATGTTAAGTATAGTTTTTGGGACTTTTTGCGACACCGGGCACTTTTAATTTCTAGTTGAGGTTGAAAGTGCACAGAAATCCTTATCCGTAATCACTATAATACTGCTAAAACTCCTAAATATTTTGGAAATGTTTTGTAGCTAAGTCGTAGTGTTTCTTAAACATGATTTCTATTGATTTGACAAATACAAAATCATATCCATTTTGACCTATCTGTGGTGCGAGCACAAAAGAATTTATGCAAAATGGCCATATTCCAAGTTTGACATGAGTTTTGCAATGGTTGGTTTATATCCAATTTGTTGTACTATTTGTAAGTTAAAGCACAAATTATCATAAATATATGTGATTTTAGTGTAATACACATGTGAATACTCATAAGTTGAAAAACAAATGGCAACAATGTGCAATGCAATGTGCAGTGGATCTGTCGTATATGTAGTAAGATAACAATATGTTAAAACCGGACAATTTTATTTAAAAGGAAATCTTAGTACATTTTTTATATTTCTTATCCGAATTGAACAAAATTTGGTTTGTATCCATTTAAGGATGTTCTTCGTCAGCTGACCAAATTTCATTATAGCTCACATTATAGCTCATTATAGCTCACGAACGAACCCTAGTGGTCGGTCTTGTATGGAATCGACAGACAGAAATACTTCCAGCAGAAATATCAAAGAGAAACTTTGGTCGCAGCTTTGTAAAGTTGTAATATGTTTTTAATTCAACATTTTTAATGAAAACGGAGAAATTAATGAAATTGACAAATCTAAAACAGATTTAGGTAATACTCGTATGCTTGGTAATTTAATGTAATGTAGCCTACACATTATTTATAAATCAGTGTTTTACAGCATTAGACCCGTTTTCCGAACATCAGATATCAAAAATATAACTTCGAGAAAGTTCGCACTAAAAAGTTGTGTCTACATACATATAAAAACAAACATATAAGAAAGAGAATTGAAAATAATATAAAAAGCAAAACAAACAGTTGAAATATATTTTGGCACATGCACAAAATGCAAGGGAACAGCACGACAATATACAAGCACAGATATAAAATATATATAAAATATAATATTAATATATAATATAAAATATATAAGTTTCATTGTGCGGAACACCACTTAGCTGCAGGTGAAATGTAACTATTTGTTTGAATGCAACACTAACAAAAGCACTGGGAAAAATTGATTTTTATAACAAAATCAGAAAAAGTTATAACAAAAATATATAAGACATACTTGTATAGTTAATACCATTCTTTTCGATATTCATTTTAATTCGCGGGAATAGTTATTGAATTAATCGTTTAATTTAATTAATTGCAAATTCAATCTGTCAAATTGCTCTCTCTTTTGAAACTATTCGTAACAAATACAGATGGATAGTTATGGATACCGTTGTATTGCTGGTTCCTTTATGAGATAGTGATGATACATTTGGTGGCGAAATTCTGACTTTGATTTTTTTTATTTTTGGCCTATGGAATCGACCACTGTGCAACGCCTGAAAATGTTATAGACTATGGAAATTTAGACTTGAGTGGACCTACAAGTTAAGATTTGCTGTCAAAGAAAAACACGAGTGTACTTCTTTAACAAGTTAATTAAAATAAAAACAACTTGTATGTTTATTTTCTTTAGATAAGTATTGCTCTTTTTGGGACTGTATATTTCATCTCACGTGTTCTTTAATTTTCCAATTCGAGTCCGTGAAACCATTCCAGAAACTCATGCAGCCTGTTCAATTTACGTTGCCCGCCGCGTGCCTTAACGCTTTGCCATCGCTGCTTGATAACCTCACGCACCTCCTTACTGTCTAATGTGTCCATGAAGAGTTCCAGCTTGTCGCCAATAATTTTCAGCAACTGTCCAATACGCATGTGGACAGTGCGCTTCCAACGATCTAAGCCATTGCGCTGGAAACAGAACTCAATTAGCAGTACCTCGATGGGTTTCTCAGGCACATCCGCATTCAAGTAGACCCCAACAATGTCATAGAAAGCATTCAGAGTGGAGTCCGTTTCATTGCCGATGCGATTTGAGTATTTGGCCTGTGCATTGAATTCAATGAGCCTTTGCTGATAGCCAAGAACGAAGGTGTTGTGTGAGTTAAGAACACGAAGATCCTCTAGCATGTGCTCCACTATCTCGTTTGCCTGAGCTACGGCATTGGAGCTGATGGTAGCTATATTGTGTTGGGCATAGGAAATCAATCGATTGCGGCTGTTGCGGCTCGAACTGCTGCCAGGGCTGAACTAAGAGGTAGGAGATCGGAGCTGTTGGTTTTGCGAAACAAATGAGGAGCAAACTTACCAATGATAAGAAAATCAGCAAGATAGATCCGCTTGAGAGAAGCTTACTAATACACCACATATCAGCTTGGCAGATGCACGTCTACTGAAAGTATTGTTGGACTTTTCACCTTGAAGGCCTGATGATGTTATCAGCGGTATAGTTTATTTGAATTATAGTATACTTATGCTGATAAGTCTTTCTATCAGTTGTGGCATAAGTAGAAACATGATGTACTAATAAATAAAGCATATGCACAAAAAAAAAAAAGGCTCTCATAAACTTGCGTGTATGGTAGACTCTGGTTTAACTATCAGAAGCACCATCGTCGAAAAAGTTCTATCATGAGCCGAAACAAATCGGAATGCCTTGGGCCACTTCGATGCGTCAAGCCATGAGTTAACCATACGGAGCGCCGCTCATCAGCCACATAGAAGTAATAATGTTGAAATAAAAGTCCACTTAGTCACTGAGCGGCAGACAGAAGGCAGCAGGACGTGCAGGAGGGTTGATGTTTGCTGGCTTATCCCGCGGGCGCACTGCATGTGTGATAAATGTCAGAACTAGGTCAGCATGTGGCATACAACGAAGCCCAGCCGCAGCAGTCAGAGCACAATAAAAATAAAGCGTTCGGCGATTACTTGTCTATGGATTGTGTGACGATATCAGTTTTTGCAATGAATGCCAAGCTCGCCCTAAATTGCTGCCATTTCGAGTTTTGAGAGCGGGTAGGTCCCATACGCAAAAAAAAAAACAAGAAAGGAATGCTAAAGTCGAGCAGGCTCAACTCTTAAATACCCTGTACCACCCCACAAAAAAGTAATTAAATTAATTAATTAATTTAATTAAATTAATTAACTAAATTAATTTAATTAATTAACTAAATATTAACTAATTAAATATAAAATATTCCATGCATGCATACATACATTTACAATTACATCAGAATCGTGTCTATGCGTGTTTGTGTACTTGTACATATGTATGTATGTGTGCATTGAGCCTGGTTATATGGCTATAACTTTCTTTCCGATCATTCTATCATAATGAGACTTGGTATACGGTTATATAATTACTAACCTAATGTGACTACCAAATTTTAGTTCAAAATTCCAAGAATTACGGGAGTTATAGAAAATCGTTAATAGGGGGGGAGTGGGGGGGTGGATCAGAAAAAATGAACAAACTCGTCCTTTCTCGGTCTCAGGAGAATCTGTATACCAAGTTTGGTTATTCTAGCTCTTATACTTTCGGAGATCCTTGCGTTCATACAGACAGACAGACGGACAGACGGACAGACAGACGGACAGACGGACATGGCTATATCGACTCGGCTTGTCATGCTGATCAAGAATATATATACTTTGTGGGGTCTACCAAGCCTCCTTCTGTGTGTTCCATGTGCACTCGCACAAAACTAATATACCCTTGTACCCTTTGGGTACAGGGTATAAAAACGCTCAGCTTAAGCGAACCTTTAGTCATATATGTATGTACTATATCTTTATTGGACAGACTCAGCACAGATATTTTTACATACTAATTTAAAATGTTATCTTGGCCAGGATAATTGTATTTACGGATTATTATCTTTGAACAGATGTTACTGCCATGAGTAGTATAGAACGGCAATAATCGATATGATATCGTCCGTGTAAACATGCGAGTAGAGAATTCTTGAGTCATAACAGCTAAAATAACAAAGCTTCGATGTGGGACTGTCTTATCGTCCATATTTATAATAAGTTTCAAAGGGGGCAGTTGGGTATGGGCCGTGTTTTTGACCGCGACACTTTCGGGTCGCTTCAAGTTTCAGTTGTGTGCATGGTACGAACATAGCACAAAAACAAGTTGAAAGGTTAAAGCCGGGTGTTTCGACTCTATACCTATGTGAAGAATAAATAAAAATTTAAAACAGGAGAGAACGCAAAAGTCGAGCAAGCCCGACAGTGAAATACCCCTAACCCAGACAAACTTCCGGCACTGAATTATATGTATACTATAGAGTCTACATATTAAGTTTTGTCTATGTACTATCAGCCGTTTCTGAAATCTAGGCATTCATCTAGACAGACGACTTCTCTGGTTATGCTGATTCAGTATACTAGTATATCTTTATTTGGCCGTAGATGGTTCCTTCTGCCTATCACATACTTTGCACAAACCTAATATATCTTTTTATCCTACTTGTGTCACATAAAAATACATATCAATCACTTCGTATTTCTCAAATGCAGCTCTAACCTAATAAAACCTAACCGATCATAACAAATCCCTAACCTAACCCATGGAAGTAACTAACCACTTATCAACCAATAATAGTACAAGTTCGCTTTTATCAGAAGAAGTTATTTGTCTTAATTATGCAATGGTTCCGTGATATATACTTATGTATATTACTTTGTATAGTTATCTTAGCACCCTCGGATCCAGCAGTAGTTCCATTTCTATGTAATTACGTTCCGACGATATGAAAATCGCAAACTCCAACCATTTCCCACTTTGTCTCCCACAGATTTATAGCATGATATATGACTAAACAATAAGCAACTTTTACACACACACTCGCACATCATATACGAGTATGTACACATGTATGTAGGTATATCGCTGGAGCTGAAAACAAAGCACAAGTGTTATAAATTGCCCTTCCCCATCCAGTCACTTGCTTTATGCATAAAAATTTCAATAACTTACAACCCTTTCCCGGGGTGCACCAACTGACACTGAATATCAAATATGAGTGAACCGAACACGGAAGCCCGGAGCCGCACGCTCCCGCATGCACACAAGTAAAAATCAACGATGTACAAAAATTATTTGCATACTTTCAGGGATGCTCGGCAAAAACGCAAACGAAACAAAGCAACACCAACAACAAAAACATGTGGCGCGCTTTCGACTTAGAAATTGTAAAAAAGAGCTTAAAACAAGCCGTTACACAGTTTGGGGCTGTAAACACAACGGCACTCTGCCCCGCCAGCGCTGGCGAAACGAGTTATTTATTGCATTTGCAAATTTTACACAACATTTTGCCGGGCGTCGAGTGCCGTAAAAGGTGTAACTTGAGTTTATCGCTGAAAAACATATCTGCATCATGCGGCGGGGTGAAATTGATTCGGTTTATCAAACCAAAAAAAATTATTTCAAATGGAAAGCAAACTTTGCCGAGCATTTGTAACACGGCGTTGCAAGTTCGATGAAGCCAAAGGTGTGTGCTTGTAACACTTACCTGGTCGCGTTGACTTGTGGGAGTTGGGGCAGGCATGTGGGCAGGTATGGCACTGAAATTGTTGGGAAAATATTTTCATAATTTTATTTTCCCTACCACAACGTTTCAGGTGTCATGTTTGAAATCAAGCAGCACACAAAATAAGGATACATGTACTTCGTATTTGCATATACAATTGACAGCGCCTGCGCATGACCCTTTTGGAACAATATTTTTGCGGATGAGAAAAAAATCTCTTTCAAAATGCCATTGGGTAGTTGCTATAAAATATGTAAATTAAAAGTTGTGCGTTTTGACAAAATGCTGAGAAGCTATACATATTTTTGAGTCAGATGTGTTTTATATAGTCTTTGTAAGTCATATTTTAAACTGCTTATTATAGTATATAGTCACCAAACAATATTATTGAATTAACAAAAATATAACTGATAGTTACTAGTAACTGATAGATCAGTTAATTATTCTTTATATACAACCAAGGGAGTGCGCCGGGGAGGGTGCAGGGGGCCCGTTGATTTTGAAAACTAGCTTACAAACTTTTGAATTTCAATTTTTAAATTATATTCATATATATACGTACTAAGTAAAAACTTGTTTGTTTACCGGCATTTGCTGGTTATACATAATTGTTTTATCATGTATGACCTGAGCATTCATAGAAATCAGAGCACATAAATAATTAAAAGATTTTATATAACTTGAATATAAAACAATATTTACTTTATTGCAGAAGAACAGAAATCTGCTTTGTTGGTATGAGAAAACGGATCGTTTTATTTAATAATATTTAGGACGCTAATTGCATTTAGCTTCGCGTTAGTTACACAAATTATAAGCCAATTTGCTTTATTTAAAACTAAGTGATATGTAAAGTGGAGTTTATTGTCGAACAGCCATGACTGCCTGCAAGAACATACGTAAGTGTTGACTCATAAAAATCTTAAGTATGTCGGGATACTCTTTCTATTCGTTCGCAGTCATTCTCAGTCTGTGTGCGTTCGCAGTGCAGGGTAATTTATTTGCTAGCCGGTTATATAGAGAAATCGCGGGTACAGTAGACTCCGACCGCAATATCGTCATCTCACCTGCCGCCCTGCGCAATGCGCTGGCCGCCATCTTTGGAGCCACACAGGGCCACACTGCCGCCATTCTGAAGGATGCTCTGCAGCTGGAGGGCAGTACCTTGGCCGAGGCTTTGGCAGCTCTGCACATCCCCAAGGTGTCCAAAGCTCAGAGCGCATTGATGATGCGCTTTGCAAATCGACTGTTTCTGCCGGGAGAGCTCGACGTATTGGGCAGCTATGAGGAATTGATTTTTCGCCCGCTGAACATGGACGTGCGAATTATAGATTATAGTGACTCGGCGATAGCAGAAACAACAATCAATACCTTTTTGGAACAGAATACGGAAAACAAAATTTGCAAGATTATGATGCCAAAGTCTGGAGAGAAAGCCAACAAACTCATGCTTGTCAGCGCTGCTTACTTTAAAGCTCAGTCCACACATCTCTACGGTAAATCATTTCAAATGCCATTCTTTTACGATACGACGAAGCAGATCCAGGTGATGGGCTTTAAGCAGAAGGAGATCTTCCGTTTCGGATACCTGCAGAATCTGCGTGTGTCGGGTGTGGAGCTGCCTTTTAAGGACACAAATCTGACAATGCTGATATTGCTTCCCAACGACTACACTGCCAATCTAACTCAGATCGAGAACGAGCTGGTGAACTACGACTTGCGTAACATAAGCCATAAGTTCAATATGCAAACCGTCTTTGTTACACTACCCATCTTTAAAGTGGACTTCGATATTCAGCTGCAGGGCGTGTTCGAAAATATGGGTCTGGGTTCATTATTCGATGGCTCAGCCAGCTTTGCTGGGATGACGACTGGAAAAGGGCGATCCCTGCAGCTGTCGGACGTGTTGCATAAGGGATACATTGAATTCAACGAGAACGGGGTAGAGGTGGCTGGTAAGAGACTTATTTTGAGATGACGTTCATTGAGCAATGGATAAGTTTTTTTTTTCAGCTGGGGACCTCGCTACACAGAAACATAGGTCCTTTCAATCCTTTAATCCGGCTATTTATTTTACCGCAAACCATCCTTTCATATTCGCTATAAAAGACGCGACTCGGGTCTACTTTATGGGCCGTATAGTTAGGCCAACGGTGATAGACTCCGTGGAATTACAATCTATGAAATCATAATCAGCAGTTCTAGGTACTCTAACTCTACTCTCTTAAAGTCTAAACTGAAGTTTTCATGTGGAGTTTTAATATGCGAAACCGTTCCTTAATGCCATTAAGTTATTTAAAAGGAAATAAAAATTGCTCCACGCTTAAGGTATTCACCATTTTTGATTGGGTTTAGAAATATTTAAGTATTTGGTAATAATAATTAATTGATCAAATGTAGACGAGTGTTATAATATTAATATAAACAAAATCATCGCCAGGTACAAATAACATTGCAACTCACAAATCTACTGAACAATTTTTCGTTGACAGAATTGTGTTCCTTTGTAACAGTATGGTAGCCGGAATCGATCAAATAGTTAAATAGTTTTTCTGAAAATCGATAAAATTTTCAAATTAATATACCATAAACAATTACAAGACCATGAATGTATTTTGAATCTTCAGCAGAAGTGCTATGGTTAGTAATCGATTTTTATTTAAGCTTGGCCATGTCCATAAAAATAAATATTATTACGTCTACTCTCCATGCAAAAACATTTCTCAAACTAAATCTAAAACAAGAAAGGAATGCTAAAGTCGAGCAGGCTCAACTCTTAAATACCCTGTACCACCCCACAAAAAAGTAATTAAATTAATTAATTAATTTAATTTAATTAATTAACTAAATTAATTTAATTAATTAACTAAATTAAACATAAAATATTCCATGCATGCATACATACATTTACATTTACATCAGAATCGTGCCTTATGCGTGTTTGTGTACTTGTACATATGTATGTATGTGTGCATTGGGCCTGGTTATATGGCTATAACTTTCTTTCCGATCATTCTATCATAATGAGACTTGGTATACGGTTATATAATAACTAACCTAATGTGACTACCAAATTTTAGTTCAAAATTCCAAGAATTACGGGAGTTATAGAAAATCGTTAATAGGGGGGGAGTGGGGGGGTGGATCAGAAAAAATGAACAAACTCGTCTGTATAATCATAAGCTTTTTTATGATTCCAAATATGCGAAATTATGTTGGCGAAATAATTGCAAAATAAGCGAAAACGAAGTTGTTCAATTTAAAAGAGGTGCACAAATGTTTATTTTGCGATCGCCGAGATTTACAAAGTTTATGCTGGTAGACGGAAAGCTAAGCTTCTCCGTACCAGATGCGATAACGAAAAACGAACTTGACTTGCAGAGTTAGCGACAATAACTAGTACATATGTGGCGGCTGCGCAGCAGCCTATGCAAATTTATGGCAAGCAACAAAAGGAAACGTTAAGTGCTCGGCTTGCTATGCAAAGCAAGTGACAAGAAAACGAGCACTTTGCATTGAGCTATTTACGTTACTTATTAACTATGATGTGCTGCTGGTTTTGGCTGTTTTTGGCCGGATGAGCAAACATACTCCCCCTGTTGAAGAACCAGGGTCTTCAACAACATCTTGTTTCGGCAGCGGGCATAATTTGCGAACGGCTCGCCGAATGGTTCCAGTGGAAGTCCTTAATTCTGCAACTCTCGACACGCCATCTGCGCCGCTGATGAGGCTGACCACCCTTGCTAATGGCCATTTGAGGGGCGGCAAATTCTCGTCCTTGACCAGAACGACATCATCAATGGAGAGTCCAGGCTGCGACACTCGCCATTTTGAGCGCTGTTGAAGAAGCGTCAAGTATTCTTCACGCCAGCGAGCCCAAAATATCTGCTGGTAGTACGTCACGCGCTGCCATCGATCCAGCCGATTGAAATTGAGCTTCGTCAGATCAGGCTCAACGTACGTTGACAGCGGAGCAGCACCAAGAAAATGAGCTGGAGTCAAGACATCGAGATCTGCTGGATGTTCTGAAAGGGATAACAATGGGCGAGAATTAATAATTGCCCCGATATGGCATACAAGCGTGCGCAGTTCATCAAATTCGAGCAGCGATAGTCCGACGGATCTGTAGAAATGATGCTTGGCAGTCTTTACAGCCGCTTCCCATAGACCACCAAAGTGAGGCGAGCGCGGCGGAATGAAACGCCAATCAATACAGTCAGCAAGGCAAAATTCTTGCACAGCCTGCAGGTGCTCGCTGGATTCAAAAAGACGCTTTAGCTCAGCCATCTCGTTCCGTGCGCCAACGAAATTTGTAGCGTTGTCAGACCAGATCCTCGTAGGTCGACAGCGCGTCAAAATAAAGCGTTTAAGTGCATTTAAGAATGCTCCGGTGGTTAAATCCTTCACCAACTCCAAATGCACAGCTTTGGTGGCGAAGCAAATGAAAATGCAAATATAGCATTTTATTGGTGCCTTATTGCGGACCTCGCTTTTGTAGAAAAACGGCAAACAAAAATCCACACCAGTGACCATAAAGGTATGTGAAGCATCTACTCGATCCTTTGGCAGGTCAGCCATAACATGCTCCACAAGACGAGGCTTGGCTCGAAAACAAATGGTGCATTTGCTGACTACGCTGCACACTGTTTTCCGACCGCCAATTGGCCAATACTGCAACCGAATTGAGGCCAGCAATGCACGAGGTCCAGAATGCAGATTACGGACATGGTAGTGCATAATGACTGAACGCGTGACTGGATGACGCCTTGGAAGTATAATTGGATGCTGGGCTTCAAAGTCGAGCGCAGAGTTACTTAGACGGCCACCAACGCGCATCAATCCAGAGCTGTCGAGAAACGGAGATAAAGAAAGACAGGAGCTAGACGATTTCAAAGTGTGTCCGGCCTGCAAGGTCTTGTATTCGTCCCGAAGCGTAGACATTTGAATTGAGCGCATCAACAGCAGTGTACCATGACGGATGCAGTCCACCGATAGCCCAGGAATTCGTACACGGTGCAGGAACTTGTATACATATGCAAACACGCGCTGCAGCTTTCCAAATGTGTTAACATATTTGCATTGCTGTGCAATGTCTTCGCACAGTGTGGTGCTTACAAACACTTTAGAGCGCTGCTCAGGAAGCGACGAGGCGGAAATGCAAGACTCTGGCCAAGAAGATTTATCCTTCGTCAGAAATGCGGGACCATGTAGCCACAAGTTGGACTGGACTAATTCGCTGGGCAAAGCTCCACGTGAAAGTATGTCCGCAGGATTCAAATCGGTTGGAATATATCGCCATTCCATGCCAGAGGTCAACTCTTGAATAGTTGCGATGCGATTGGAAACGAAAATTTGAAACCTGGATGGCTCGCTGCGAATCCAAGATAGCGCTACTGCAGAATCAGACCAACAATAAAACTTGCAGTCGAATAACTCCATACGAGATATTTCGTTTATGAGTTGTGCCAGCAAAACGGCTCCGCACAACTCTAGTCGGGGCACGGTCAACGATTTGAGCGGCGCCACACGAGATCTGGAACACAGCAGCTCCGCACGAGATTGGCCTTGCGTGGTCGAAATGATGTAGACGCAAGCTCCATAGGCATCTATGCTGGCATCACTAAAACCATGCACTTCAATGGAAACACCAGCAGAAAGTGCAAGCCTTGGAAATTTCAGCTGCTTTGTGCGCTCAAAATCTGCAATAAGATTATGCCAAGATGTTGTCAATGATGCTGAAAGGCTTTCATCCCAATCAAGCCTTTCTCTCCAAAGCGCCTGCAGGAATATCTTAGCCTTTGCGATTACTGGTCCAATAAGGCCAAGCGGATCATAAAATCTGGCAATAGTTGACAAAACAGTGCGCTTGCAAATTCGACCAGATGTCAATGCTGGCAGAAACGTGAAAATGAATAAATCCGTCGCAGGATCCCACGACAGCCCTAGAGTTTTTGTTATGTCGCTGCCATCATCAAACTTAACTAGAGTTTCTTTGTCTTCTTCCGGAACTTGTTTGAGAACATCAGGATTGCTGGAGCACCACTTCCTTAGCTTGAAATTAGCCTTGGCAAGTAGCCCTGTGGTTTGTCTCATAATTTCTATGACTTCGTTTGTAGAAGCACCACCAGTGATTAAATCATCAACATAAAAATCGCGGCGCAAGATATCGGAGCCAATAGGAAATAGCTCGTGCTCATCTTCAGCCAGCTGATGCATAGTGCGAACGGAGAGAAACGAGGCAGGCTTTGTACCGTAAGTGACGGTATCAAGACGGAAAACTTGAATAGGCTTTTGAGGCGAGTCACGCCATAGAATGCATTGAAAATAGCTATCCGGATTTGATACTCGCACGCAGCGGTACATCTTGCAGATGTCTCCTGTTAAAGCGATAGGAAACGTGCGAAATCGAAGAAGCGTGTTTGCGAGCTTTGACTGAATGGAAGGACCAGCCATTAGGATGTCATTTAAAGAATGACCAGAGGACGTGGATGCGGAACCGTCAAACACGACTCTCAACTTTGTCGTTGTGCTGTCCTCCTTCAGAACGCAATGGTGCGGAAGGAAATACTTGCACAAATTTAGCGAAACTGGCGATACAAGCGACATATGACCCAACTCTAAATACTCCTTAATGAATGCAGAGTACTGTGCTTTGAGAAGTGGATTGCGTTCTAACTTTCGCTCCAAGTTTATGAACCGACGATAGGCTTGCGTATAGGAATCGCCAAGCAGATCTGTGCTGAGCTTTACAGGCAATCGGACGGAATACTCGCCAGTACGCAGGCGCCTGTAATTAGCCTTGAAATGCTCCTCGCAGTCGAACTCTTCTTTTGTAAGTTTTACAGCCGGATCGACACCACTTTCGAGTTCCCAAAAAGAGCGAACCATCTGCTCGATTCGTGTATTGCAATCCTGTGTAGACGGAGACTTGGATGCAACCAAAGCAGATTTCTGACGCTGCGAGCCACCTCCAGTAACTATCCAGCCCAAACGAGTCTTTTGCAGAAGTGGCAGGCCATCAGCCAGTTTAATCTGACCTAGGCACAACAACTCGTAGAATAAATTGGCACCGATAAGCATATCAATTTGCTGTGGCTTGAAGAACGCCGGATCAGCTAAGCGGACATTGCTTGGTATATCCCAATGAGATATGTCAACCGTGAAATTTGGTTGGTTCTCAGTAATGGAAGGAGCGACCAAAGCAGTAATATTTGCGGAATAGTCAGTGACCAATGATTGCAAGCATAAGTGCACAGTGCAACCATCAGACTTGAAACTGACGTCACCAAGACCAGACACAGAGGCCGACGACTTGGTCTTTCGAAGTTGGA